CTACTATATCAGGAACTGTGCTAAATGCTTTATGTCCATGAGATAACTATTATCATTTTCGTTTTATGGATATAATCATACTGTTTTTTGAATTCTTCTCTAAGACATGATCTAAACTCTTGTCAACTAAAATTTGGGCTTGTCTAAAACCTCAGATATGTAGATTTTTACAGAATGAGGTGAGGCTCATAAAATAATTTTTTTCCTAATAGATTTTCTAATACTTGATAGTTTTGATTTGTATACAAAATTCACTATGAAATTTAAAAATCTACCCACAAAGATATTATCAGAGTAAAAAAATGTGAGCCACATTTAGTCTTTTTAATTTTCTAAACCTCAGAAAGATTTTTTATTGTTTTAATAACAGCATCATCATAATATATTAAGATGCTGTGCTGTCCTTTGTAGGGAATGGTGGAACAAGGGATGATGGTTAGCCATCATAAATTCAACCAGTACTGTGAGCTGATTTCAGGAGAGGAATTGAGCATCCATTATTTCCTGCCAGATTGCTCTCAGGATTATTGGGAAATAAATATTTCCTTGTGGAAGGCTAACTGCTCTTAGAGCAAATCTTCAATCTTCACCTGTGTCTCTGGAACTACTTCACTGACCAGCCCAGACTATGTGTGATTTATAATTCAAATAAACATTGATTTATATTTAAGACATACTTTATTGAAAAGTTTTAATTATACTCACTTTAAGTTAGAGATCAATTAAACCTGTATTAGTCCATTCTTGCATTGCTATAAAGACATATCTACAACTGAGTAATTTAAAAAGAAAAGAGATTTAATTGGCTCATTTTCTGCAGGCTGTGCAAGAAGCATGATGCTGGCATATGCTTGGCTCTTGAGGAGGCCTCAGGAAATTTACAATCATGGCGGAAGGTGAAGTGGAGAGTAGGCATGTCACATGGCCAGAGCAGGAGCAGGAGAGAAGGGGGGCGGGTGCCACACACTTTTAAATTACTAGATCTCATGAGAATTCCATCACTATTGCAAGGACAGTACCAAGGTGATGGTACTAAACCATGAATGAGAAACCACCCCCATGATCCAATCACCTCCCACCAGGTTCCACCTCCAACACTGGGGATTACAATTTAATACAAGATTCGAGTAGGGACACAGATCCAGACCATATCAAAACTTTTGTCTGATATCTTCTTTAAATACCTAATGAGTATAATTGTCTCATGGAAAAAGGAAGCTCTGGGAAACCTAATGTACAGCTCACTCACTGCTGTCATGTCAATTGCAGACCTCTCAAGCAAGCACTGCTGGAAGAAAGAAGAACTAGCATCTCAGTTCTTTCGGTCCCTCTGTTTGCATACACTGATTGTTCTTCAAGAGAAGAAGCAAGACCCATTTTTGGGTCTGACATATGGCTACTTACTAGTTACTTCCTCCTTCACTTCCAGTCCTTCAGTAATAGGAGGTGGTAATAAAGAGAGCATGGATGTTTAACTGCATCATGGGTATATGATGGTAGCATTATTGTTGTAGTGAAAAGTTAGAAACAAATACATGTTTAATAATAGGGTGCTATTAACCAAGAAAAGGTGAGATTTGAATAGCTCTTAATACATCCACTTAATGACAGTCTGCAGACATAAAACGTGAGAGTAAATGATATTAATAAAATAATATATTGAGTAAAAATAAATGCATTACAGAAAGTATCTTTAAGATTCTATCGCAAAAACAAGAAGATTATATTTCTAACATTAACAGTAACCATTTCCATTTGGAGATATAAATGTGTGATTTTAAATTTCTACGTTAAGCATGAATTACATTTAATAAGGAAAAGAGTTGAAGCTATTTCAAAATAATTTAATGGATCAGCTCACATGGCCAAATAGATAAGAAATACTCCTTTTAAACTCAAAATTTAATAAGATATTCTGTAGAGGTCATAGTGCCAAAATTGTATGTGTGTATGTTTATACCCTTACCTTCTTCCATAAAAAGTATTAAAACCATGATCAGGAAGGTGGTTTTCCCAGGGCGAGGCTCATACATTGCACACCGGATGTGCTGACCCCTGTGATTTCCCCAAATGTGGGAAACTTAACTGCATAATTTGTGATAGTGGGGGACTGCGTTCATGCTTTCCCCTTAAAAAAAAGTTTTCATGTGGATTTGGTAGAGATTGTTATCCATTGTCCCAAATAAAACTATGTCTTTATGTTTTTAAATAAAACATTTCTTAGTTAGCATATGCATGGACATTTTGCTTTCCCATGAGTGAATTTGTTTCATTTTGTTTTTTAAAGATCGAACAGTCACATATTTACAGAAAAGCTGGAAGCACAGACAAAGACTTTTTTTTTTTCTTGAAACACTGAAAAAAAAAAATAAATAAAAAATAAAATAAATAAAAAATTAAAAAAAAAAAAAAGAAACACTGGAGAGTAATTTCTGATCTGATGTCTCACATTTCTTTCGTTGGATCACCTACAAACAAGGATATTCATCCGTATAACTACAACACTAGCATCAAGGTTAGGAAATTAACATTGATACATCACTATCATCTAATACTCAGAACCCATTTAAGTTTCTCAGTTGTCCCAGAAATGTCTCATATAGTGAAATAATTTATTTCAGAATCACACATGGCACTCAGTTGTGTCTCCTTAGTTTATTTCACTCTGTAACATTTCCTTAGCCCTTCTTCTCTGGCCCTTTAAAGTCCTATAATATTGTATCATAAATAAGCACTTTGAGGAATCAAAGTAAATGATCCTTCCTCAAGATTGTCCATAAAGTTAAAAAGCAACATACGATCTTCTCAACTTTAGTCGGTTTGAAAGTAGTCAGACCTGGTTTCATATCCACACTCTGCAACTGAGAAAGCCTTTGCTCTACCATACCCACAGTCTACCCTCTAGAGTATAGACCTTAATTAGAAAGGTAGAAAAATATTGAAATAGGTGATGAGAAGAGAAAAGTAAAAATATGGCAAAGAGAATTTGAGATTTGGAAATGTGCTGTTTCTTTCAATCTTTATGAGGCTTAAGATGGGTTTTTGGAAGACGTAATATTTAGGACATACTTTATATGATGTCTCTGTGACCAATATATGTGTTGTGAAGATAATTTGATGCTTTTAGTTCTTTAAATATTTCTTCTTAAATAAACCCATTCAGTCCATTAACCATGGTTAATGTTTTCCCACTGGTTTGTACATGTCATAGTTAAAGACCAATGTAGACTAGCAGGGAAGTAGAAAAAGAAAAATTAGTACATTCATGAATTATTCTCTGTTCTACTTTAGACAAGTTAATTTTCCTTAAATTATCAGGTTCCGTCTTAATCATAGGCCATTTGTGGTTATCAAGAAATAAATGTTTGTATGTTTGGCCTTCACAATCTTACATTTCCCACTAAAAGCCAATTCAATTAGTCCTTTAACATCTTGTCACAAAACATTCAATGTGGGAATCAAAATTTTAAAAAAATGGATAATTCTTAGATTTATAAAATTGTTCTCCCAATGAATATTAACTAAGACTTGAGAAAAACTATTCTATTAAATTAACATTCAAATGTTCTAATTATATTAGGAGGGTAACTCTTGTTCCCAGAATAATCATTTTAGAAATTAAAGAGCACTTATATCATAGCACCCTGGGTGGGTAAATGAAACTTCATCCAAAACATGGCCCCCAAAAATAAAGTCCCACCCAAGATTACCTTTCATTTTTTAAGACCAGAGAGTAAAGGATTATACTCCTGTGGTATGACATGCAACATCTTTGGATTTTCCAGTAATATGAATGAAAAGAAGAAATAGCTTAGATTTTATAAAGACTGTTGTTTCACTGATTTCACCAGTTTAAAGCAACTTGCTTGCAGTACTTTACAATTATAATTTGTACATTAAAAAATTTAAATTACCTTAGTAATAGATTCTCCTTATATAAAAAGTTATAACTTTACAGATCAAGTTGACATACCCTTTGATTATTGCCCTCTGTAATGCCGCATCTTAGTCTCCTCTCTAGAAATATTCACTGTTAACAATATAATGTATATGCTTCCAGAATTCTCCATAGCATTGCTCATAGAAGATATATCTATGTTTGTATTTTAGCATAAATGATATGTACATTAATTCACCTGACAACATGACTTAGACATTTTTTCAGTTCAAATAGGTTCACTTCATTTTAGAAAATTGCAGCGTGTTCTTCCATAGAAAGGATGCACAATTATTTCTTTAGTCATTCTTGATTTTGTGAATATTTAAATTGTTCTGAATTTTTCACTGTTACAAATAATATTATGATGAAGATTCTTGTACTTGCTTCCTCAATACCTACTCCAAAGTTAGTTGACTCTGAGGTAGATACTAACAGTAGAATTTTGAGGTAACAGGATATGTAAAGTGATCCATGAATGCACAATACTTACATTTAAATTCCCTTCAGCAGTGTATAAATATACTTATTGAATTTAAATTTGAATTTCCTCCATCAAAGTGAGGTTGAATGCCAGTTTATATAAATCTTGATTATTTTTATTAGTTCTTCTGTGAGTTACCAGTTTATATTATTGGTCTATTTTTCAAATAGATGATTCTTTTCTTTCTTTAAATGATTTGTTGATTCTAATCCTTTATTATTATTTGGGTTGAAATACCTTCTCCTAGTACTTGTCTTTTCACTTTTATACTGCTGTGGTTGATGTAGTTAAACTCATTATATTTTCTTTTCTTTTTTTTTTTTTTTGAGACAAGGTCTTGCTCTGTCACCCAGGCTGGAGTGCAGTGGTGTGATCTCCGTTCACTGCAACCTCTGCCTCTCGGGTTCAAGCAATCCTTCCACCTTAGCCTCCCGAGTAGCTGGGACTACAGGCACTTACCACTATGCCCGACTAATTTTTTTATTTTCAGCAGAGATGGGTTTTGCCATGTGGCCTAGGCTGGTTTTGAACTCCTGGGCTCAAGCAATCTGCCTGCCTCTGCCTTCCAAAGTGCTGAGATTACAGACGTGAGCCACCTCGCCTGGACTCATATTTTCTTTTATGGCTTTTGCTTTTTGTGTTTTATTTCAGAAGGTCTTCCTAACTCTAAGGCACCATATATTTGCCTACATTTTCTTCTAATAATTTCTTATCATTAAAAGATTTTAAGTCTTAATTACAATTTTTTGAACAGTGTAAGATGAAATCAAACTTTTACTTTTTATAAAAGGATAGCTAGTAAGTCTCATTGATTTGAAATGGCATACCATTATTTTCCCATTGATTTGAAGTTCCACTTTTTATCATATTTCATAAACATATGTGTTCTATAGATAGATGCATACATATGTACGTACATATTTATCATTTAAATACACATATTGGTTGGTTCTATGATTATTCCTCATTTTACAGACAAGGAAACAGGTACAGAAATATCAAATAACTTGCACAGCAACACATAGTCAAGAAATAGTGGAGCAAAAAATAAAACATATGGATCTAGATTTAGTCTGTGGCCTTAATGACTATACTTTCTATAAATTTTCTGTTTGTTTGTGAGTCTATTTTTTGAACTCTATTCTGTTTCTTCAAACTACTTGTGTATTGTTGCATTAATTCATTAATTTCCTTCCCAATTGCATTTTAAAAACAATCAATGGCAATATATAGAAAAGTCATTGTTTTTTATGTTGTTTTTGTTTCTTGCTATCTTGCTGAACTCTCTTCTTAGCTATAAAAGTTTTTCCTTTGATTATCTTGAAATTTCTATCATTTTCTCTGTAAATAATAACAGTTTACCCCTTATTTTTCAACATTTATACAACTTACTATGGTTTCACTTATTTAATTCCATTGGCTAGGATGTTCAGTCTAATGTTGAACAGTAACAGTAGCAATGGGCATTCTTGTTTTGTTCTTGACCTTACAATATTTCTAATAAATGTCACATTTGCTGTATTTTGGGGTAGATACTCTTTATTAGATTAAGGAAGTTTCTTTTTGTTCTTACTTTTTACGCAAACAGACGCACACACAAGTATATTACATATACACACATAATCACAATTGTCTTTGGGCATCTATTGAAACTGTTTCTCTCCTAAATCATATGATTAAGTTAGCCAATTATATTGGATTATATTGGTTGTTCATTATTAAAAAGCTATATTTTGTATTCCTGGGATAAACCTTACTTGATCATAGTGCATTATTCTTTTAATTGATTGCTGAATTTAAATTTCTAGTATTTTATTAGCAATTTGCATCTATGTGAGATTTGCTATGGTTTTCTTTCCTTATGCAGTCCTGTTCGAAATTTTTAAAAAGCTAATGCATATTCTTAAAAGACTTTTTTTATTTTTTAAAGAGTTGGTCAGAGTTGCCTATGAAATTTTGTGGACCTGATTAAATTAGGGGAGAGGGGAGTATATTTGAATACCATTTCAAGTTTTTTCTGCCTTTGTTGGATTGATTTTATTTTCTTCCACTTTTTTGTGATAGTGTAAAAATTATAAATTGTATTTGTGTTTTTCTACTAAATGCTATTCAGTTAGCACTTGAATGAAATATATTTTCTATTAATATTCAGAATTGGTCTGTGTTTCTCTAAAGTTATTAAACAAAACCAAAATTTTTGTATGCTTTAGTTTTACTTAAGTATTTCTTCCCATTTCAATTCTCTTCCATATTGACCTAATTTGAAAGTTTATTCTACATTGTTACTTTAAAAATTCCTGTCATTGTTGTTTTAAAAAATCAATAGTTATCTAGAATTAATAATATAATTTAATTGATTTTTTTGTTCACCATTATTTTTCAGAGCTTCCTTATTATTATATTCATTTTTACTTTGGTTGGCAAAATTATATCAAGGAATTATTGTGAGTGGTAAAGTTTCTTGTTCCTTCATGTTTCATTTTCATTCTTGAATGATAGTTTGGTTGGATATAAAATTGCAGGTTTAACTTTTTTTCTTGCTCCTTTGATTTTATTCATTCGTTAACAAGAAAATTGTATAGGAGATTTTGTTTTTTCTTTCCCAAAGATTTTAGTATTTGTTTCCTTTATTCTTGGTTTGGGAAATGTTAATATAATATCTAGGTATGGTTTATTATTTAAATTTATCTTACTCAGAACTTGGTTGGACCTTAAATTGCAACTAAACTAATGTATATGTTACCTTCCTTCCATTCCTGCTAATACTACTCCGATTGGGTGGATGATGGAGCATTTGAGTCTATTTTACATAATTCCTAACTTTTATTTTATTCTTTTTATATATTCATCACTTTTTATTGCATTCTGGAAGAAATTTTTGGATTAATATTACAGTTTAGCAATTTGTTCTTTGTGTCCATTCTCTTATTTGACCTACTTGTCGAGTATTCTATTTAAAAGATCAATATTTTAATAGGTGTGCTTTCCAATTGATTATTTTCTGTGGATTTAATATTCTCTCACATATCTCTGTGGATATGACTTGTAAATATTCTGAAGTCCTTTTCTGACATTATTAATTCCGGGCTGTAAATTCTTCATGTTTTAAAAACAAGGAACTCTATTGTATCTCTTTTTAATGGTATTGGCCTTCCTCCAACACTTAGTGACTCCTGCGTGTTCATCTGTTAGCTGAGACTCCTTATTAGGCTCTTTGTTCTATGTGATCCTGCAGGCTGCTTAGAGAGAAGGACCAGATTTGCTGCAGGAACTTGTATTTCAGTCTGTTTTCAAAAGTGTATGGGAGGGGATGAGGATACCGCTGGCAGGGTGCCTCATAGATTAGCTCCTGGTAGGGGAGAGGCTGTCTCATTCCATTGGTAGCTCCAGCTATTCAGGGTGTCCAGGATGCTGCTTTGTTTCTCTGATTCAAGCTTCCATACCTTTGACTCCCAGCTGGAAGCAGTAACTCCTGTTGCTACTCTTTGACTCCAAATGTGGCCTAAGTTGGTAGAGGGAAGGTGCACAGTTCAACCTTGCTCTTCCTACTGCTCTCCTGTAGCAAACACTGTTGTCTTTTGTATCCATTCCCAACATTTATTGGCAGCACTCTCCTATTCTTGTTTTGAGCTGGTTTTAAATCCTCCTTCTAATAACACCTGCTTTCTGTCTTCCAAATGTCCTCTCAAAGTTTATATGGTCCTCCAAAGCTTGATACTGTTTCCCAGCTATATGCATTAAAAAATCCTTTCTAAAATTTTGAGATTTCCAGTGGGAAAAGGAGACTACAATCTATTTCCATTCTACCACCTTGAAATGGAAACCAGCGTGTAATCTTCAAAACCTTGGGAGGATGTTTTGAAAAAAATGAGTTTAGCAGACCAGTTTGCAGGACTGCCATTTATGGTTGTGTATGCTGCTCACAGTATGAAGGCATCCAGCTGAGGAGGTAGCCAAGAGCTGAGAGCAAGGACATTGTTTCTTCCCATCTGTCTGAAAGCAACTGACAGGCAGGAGGGACCTTTTCTTTCTAATTGACACAAGGATGTCCTGTGGGTCAGCAGTCGCCCTAGTCATTTGAGCTTTAAATTACATTATGTATGATGATGATTCTGCAGGTGTATACGTAGGTCAAAATGCATCAAATTATTCATTTGAAATATGCATAGTTCCTTGTGCATCAATTATACTTCAATAAAGCTGAAAAATAAAGTAAAAAAAGTTAAAGACATTTTATTATGCAAGTAGTAAAGTGTGTAAAATGTTCTGTTGGATTTAGAGGATAAATGTTTAAGATTTCATATTTTACAAATTGGACAAGATATAAAAGCTTTACCTTAGTTGACAAATAACAATAATTCTAAAAGAAGATGCATTCATGAACAGGATAGTTAGAGGAGAAAAGAGAGTTAAAAGGAGACAGTAACTAGCTGTTAATCATCTTTTCTGATAAACAAAGTGGTATAGTTAACACTCTGCCTTGGATATCTTAGGGAAAGCCCTAGGTAGAGAGGCAGAGGGATGAACTAAAGCTGTGCTGTCCAATACAGTAACCACCTGTGGCTATTCAAATTTAAATTAATTAACATAAAACAAAATAGAAAATAGAAATTAGGTTCTTCAATCATATTGCTGTATTTCAAGTGCTCCCTAGTTCCATGTGACTATAGTACTAGACAGCACAGATACAGACTAGTTCCGTCATCACAGAAAACTCTATTGGACAGCACCGACCTAGTTGATCTCTTAATTTAGGTCCTCTACATACCAATAGTTTTACCTCTGTAGATTACTACATTAAATGTAATCCCAGATCTTAATTGCCAGGGGGTCTAACAGAAGATAGAATATGGGTCCATACTGGTTGCAGAATAGGCATTCAGGAATAAATAATGTTGATTGGTGATCAATAACATTGATTGGAATCAATAATGTTGTTGATGAATGGATACATGAATGAAGCTAGCAGTGAATTCCCACTATTTGATAAAATACTGCATTCATTTATCCATTCATTAACTCAAGAAATATTTATCAAATACCTACCACTTGCCAGGTACTGGTTCAGGCACTTGATCAGGAAAGTAAACAGACCAAGATTACTTCCCTTCTGGAGTTTACGTACTGGAGGATGGGGTAAATATTGTAAATAATAGGCATAATAAATAAGTAAATCATATCACAATTTGATTTGCTCCTTGACTTAAGGAGCAAAGGAGCTGTTGCTCCTTGACTTAAGTTTTGAAAGGTGAAGTCTAGCTCCTGTGTTAAGAAGACATTGTAGTAAGCCAAGGACAGAAGCAAGAAGGCTGGCTGGAGGCTGTTGCATTATCTAGGTTGAAAATGATGGTGGTTAGGTCCAGGGTGGTAGCAATAGTAATAGTGAAAAGTGGTCAGATTCTGGATATATTTTCTGGGTTGAACTATAAAATTTCTGACTGGGTTAGATGTGGATGTGAGAGAAAGGGAGAAGTCAGAGTTTCAGCCTAGCAACTAAAAGGATGCAGTCAGCATTAATGGGGATGGGGAAGGCTACAGGAGGAGCAGATAGAGGATAAGACCAGAAGTTGAGTTTTGAGCATGTTAAGTTTGAGATGTTTATTAAACATAGAAGTAGAAGAGTTGAATGAGTTGCTGGATATACAGGTGCAGATTTGGGAGAATAATATGGAGTTGAAATAGGTTACTAACAGGTAAGCAAATATATTCTCTGTTAATGAACCAAAGTCTTTGTATATCAGAAGGTAGAATTGGCTGGCTGTGAGTTTGGGTAAAAATATCATCATTTTGTTCTTAGCATGAGCTGAGAGACCTGTTAACAAATTTTGCTTTGCAAACATTTACAAAATGTTCAGGCATTACACTCAGTTTTAAAAAGGAAGTATTTCCTGCAGACATTGATATTTAGTGTGCAGAGTTTTCCTGTGATTTTCACAGAAAGCACTTGAGCATTTTTGTTAATATCAATGCTATGTTAGGACAAATGCTGGTATTATTTTCTCCCAGGCCCATAATATTTTTAACAGTTAAACCCAAATCACTGTACTTTAAATAGACTTCATTTACCACTGCAGCATAAATAATCTATTTTTAGTCATTGGAAAGAAAATCTTGATGTTAATTTAAAAGAAGGAAATAGTAAAAGGTACGTACTTGAGTATTAGGCCTGAGTCTCATAAAAACAAGTTAATCAAAATTGGGGAGCATTATAATCTTAAAAGAATGACGTCAAGGATCTGATGTCTTGGATTCTTAAGGGCAGACATGGAACAGTCCAACATCTGTGCCAGAATGACCTCTGTGAAGCATAATATTTCCTTTTAAATGTTTAGACATCATGATAGTTTTCCATGGTTTTAATTCATAAAATATGGATTTTTTAAAAGCCACAGAAGCATAGCAATTTTTTTCAGCTGTCCCCTTACCATCTGTACCATGCTTTTAACCCCTATTAACTCCTAATGTGAACAATTCAACTAGAGCCTTCTTTCAGAAATATGACCATCTACAAACATCTCTGGATAAGGAAATAAAATGACAAGGAAAAAGTTCACTGACTCTGAGCTAGGGTCATGAAATCTAAAGGTATTAATAGGAATAAACTAAGATAAGAAACATCAGATAGTTTGTTGTGGTTTAACTTCATTGCTTTCATAATGCGTTTACTATATTTTTCTCTTGTTAAGACTCTGGCTCTTTTCTAGGTCAAACATATTCTAGTGATCCATGCTGTGCAAAGAACCCTTATTTTATGATATCCAGAAAACTGTTTTGGAAGTCTCAGAGGAATCATGTGAGTTAACATAGGAGACTCATTCAGTCTGTTTATTTTCAGCTGATTTGCTTTCTTAATTGAGTAATCCAAAACTGGATATTTATGTAAAAGAAAAGATATTTTGCTATGTTTATACTTGAGCATAATTAGCTAGTTATTTTTCTTTCTCTTTAGTTTTACCGCCACTACACACAAACACAGTAACCAATTAGGTTATAATAGAACAAGATAATTCAATGGCTTGGTTGCTTATTCTGTATATTGAATGCTAAATGGAAAAAAATATTTATGTTGAATATATGAAATTTTTTCTTTCCATGAGATTATAAGTTAGGGAAACGGGGTGTGGGGCATAATAGTGGGCTTTACTTTGTGCCCTGAGAGCAGCAATTCTAAGATTCACACATATGCCAGAACATGGAACTAAATGCAGACTCTTTGGCCCTTTGCTCGCAGATATGTCCTTTCTTGCTAATCTGTTTACTCTCTATCAAGAGCCAAGTGTATCATCTTCGCATTTCTTGCATATATTGTGCTCATTTTCTATTCTGTGGCCACTGTGAAGACTTCAGGTATAGATGAAGTTATGTGACTGAAAAATAAACATCTGAGTAACTACAGTCTTTGATCCCTCTTCCCATTCCCCTACCCCAGACTTTCCCACCTCCACTTAACTGCTCTTGGGCCACTGTGATTATGAGAGGGGTAGTGGAGAAGTGGAGATGGTAGAAAAGTGGTTTCTTTGGAATGAGTAAAGGGATGGGGGCAGCTTCTCTGCACCCCCAGAAAGCAATGGGTTACAGGAGAGTAAACACACACTGGGCAGTGGGCTTGGCTTGAGTTTGAGAGAGAATTTTCTAGAGTTTAGAGAGAGGAAGGAAAGAAATTTGTTGAAGCAGCTGCTGTACACAGCTATAGCAATACTTATCAATATGTATAGGTATATGTGTGTGTATATATATGTATGCACACACATATATGAGGTTTAATTTGTAAGATTTAATAAGATTTAACCTTATTTGTAATTATTTTTTATTATCAGCAAGATTTATATTAACGTGGTACACATCAGGATGGGCAAACTAGTTCTTTACAGCTGTTATCCCTCCTGATTGGGTCAGTATCTCTTCTGTCCAGCCAGTGACCCTGCCATTCCAGTTGTGCAGCCTCTCCCCTTGAATTCTCTGGGCCTCCCCATAATCCAGAAGACAAAGGGGTCAAGCTTGGTGCCTCAGAGGGCCTCAAAGTCACTTCAGTACTATAGCTGGCATCCTCAGAAACTCACTTCAGCACTATAGCTGACATCCATTCTGATCGGTTGTTAAATATTTAAAATCCCACCTCTGTGATCTATCTGGAGCTGGGCCCTAAGGAGATGAGATACTTAGAAAGGGCAAGTCCATGTGGGCTTCATAGTTGGTAGGGGGAGAAAGAGAGGTGGTAAGAAGTGTGGAAATAAAAATGGGGCATGAAAAGGAGACTGAAGGGTGTGGGAAGAGAGGTGAAGACACACTGCTGAAGAAGGGCACTGTGAGTCAGCGTGGGCTACATCTGGATGGCCTGGGGTAGCCATGCCTTTGCTTTTCATGCCTCACTTTTCAAGTGAGGACCTATCTTCGCTTGAAAGTTGTGTAGGAACCTTTGAGAAAATACTTCCTATTGTCCCTCTGAGCATGCACACCCCATCCTCTCTTCTGCTAATCTCCTGTGTTGCATGCACATACTTTGCCCTTGTTCAAGCGGTGCTCAGTAAGAATTCTTGAATGTTTGCTTTCTAATGTGTATGTCCAGGCAACTTCATGCAGTGAATCTGGAAATAACCTAATTTATTACCTTGTTTTGCAAATGAGAGAATAAAATGGGTCTAAAGAAATCAAATAATTGCTGTATGTCCTCAAATCCAGGGATGATTCTCCTACTAACACTGTAGGTCTCAAACTGCAGGTTTCCTGAGGGAAATTATGTTACAAATCAGGACAAGCTTCTCAGTTGGTTCTGTGCTTTGAGAACAATGGACTTTGTTTTTTTCTTATGAAAACTTAGAAAAATATTCAAAATATTACATTGACTGAAAAAATCCATATGACCACATTAAAAATATATACGTGAACGTAATTTTAGGCAAAGGAAACATTCTATGCACAAGCCAATAAATTATCTTCTATGGTGTCATGAGAGGTAGTTAAAGAATAGACTCTGGATCCCAAATTGCTTAGGCTCAAATTTTAGCAGAGCAATATTTAAGAAGTTACTTAACTTCTCTCTGCCTTGGATTCCTTATTTGTAAAAAGGAGAATAATGTACATTTTACAGAGTGGGTCAGATGATTATGCAAGATGATTTAGCTTAGAGCAATGCCTAGCACACAGTAGGGCTGCTTGTATTGTTATTATCACAGTTTTTGTGGGCTGAGGTTTTTTTATAGACCAGATTCAGAGAGTAAGAGGAACTTGATTTCCTTCAAATCGATTTGATAAGTACAAAAGTGAAAGGTTAGATAGAGAGGAAGGTCGTGTGGGGTTATTACAGTAAACAGTAAATCCTACTTGAATTATGTACCCAATATGTTAGCTACAGAAAAATTTGAAAGTACTAAACGTTTTGTCACAAATCAGCTTGTTTGGGCCAGTTCTATTTTTATCAGCATGTCTTATCTCTCTTATAAGCAAATCATGTCCAAACAAAGCCAGAGAAAAACAAAGCTAACAAGTATTCTGACTCAACACTTTTTTTGTAACACTCAGAAAGCACAGTCTTTTATAGTCTTTTGGCCATATTGTCTTGGTTATCTTCTGAGGAGATGCACAAAAACCTATAATGAGGACTAGGGCTCACATTAGAATCTCAGAAATAGAGGCTAAATTACCATTTCCAAAAGGGGAGCTTTTCACTTCAGTATTAAATCAAGCCTCAGAAGAAAATGAAAATTATTATTAGTAATTCTGACAGTTATTTCACTCTAAGATGGCTGAAATGCCTAGATTTCTACTTTGTAAAATAATTTATTGATCCCAAATTCTCAACTACAGAAATGATTCAATATCTAATATTACTCCTGTAAAAATTTAGCTTTCTACTTTAGGATGTAATATATTTTTCCCCAAATAATATTTAGATTCTTTAAAAAAATATGTTAATATGCATAAAATGACTGTAAGTCATGAGAAAGATGTATTAAGAGCTGAATACCTTTAGAATGGCAGAAAGGAGTTTCTCTTCAGAGTGCTACTAAATTCTAGGGAGAGTATCTTTATCCCTTTTTAGTCTTCATATATTTGCTGAGACTTAGCAAAAATACTTTGAGGGTTCTAGTTAGCTTGATCATGCCTCACACTTCCTGAAGAAGGTTGCAGTTGTGGAGACCACACTAAATTCCTGAAGGAGTTCCAACTAAAGAATCCTTAGACATGCTCCAACTGACTGGGCTGAGGAGATTTTTTGTTGTCTTTTAGGTGAAGAGCTAATGGCAGAGGGAATTATGGGACCTCCTAGTCATAGGATCACCATTATCTTTATTGGCTCTGTTGGAGTCTAAGTGCTTTCCCAAATAAAATGAAAATTAGAGCAGGAGTCAGTAGTATTTCCTTTCTCAAAATAATGTTTGATTTGAATTACTTATAATTATTTAAGGCCCTCGAAGAGATTAATGTAAATATTTGAGAAATTGGCTCCCAGGAAACAGAGAAATGACTTCAAGATTCTGAAAATTATCTTCTAATTCTCTTGGGAATGCAAAGTGTGTGGGTAACCTAAATATCAAGAGACAGGAAATATATTTGACAATTGGAAAGACTGCTATTGAAGTGCATCCCTGTTAAATCAGTGGATCAAAAAGTAACAGAAAATTATGTGTCTGCATGAAAAAATGCTCATCATCACTGGCCATCAGAGAAATGCAAATCAAAACCACAATGAGATACCATCTCACACCAGTTAGAATGGCGATCATTAAAAAGTCAGGAAACAACAGGTGCTGGAGAGGATGTGGAGAAATAGGAACACTTTTACACTGTTGGTGGGATTGTAAACTAGTTCAACCATTATGGAAAACAGTATGGCGATTCCTCAAGGATCTAGAACTAGATGTACCATATGACCCAGCCATCCCATTACTGGGTATATACCCAAAGGATTATAAATTATGCTGCTATAAAGACACATGCACACGTATGTTTATTGCAGCACTATTCACAATAGCAAAGACTTGGAATCAACCCAAATGTCCATCAGTGACAGATTGGATTAAGAAAATGTGGCACATATACACCATGGAATACTATGCAGCCATCAAAAAGGATGAGTTTGCGTCCTTTGTAGGGACATGGACGCAGCTGGAAACCATCATTCTTAGCAAACTATCACAAGAACAGAAAACCAAACACCGCATGTTCTCATTCATAGGTGGGAACTGAACAATAAGATCACTTGGACTCAGGAAGAGGAACATCACACACAGGGGTCTATCATGGGGAGGGGGGAGGGGGGAGGGATTGCACTGGGAGTTATACCTGATGTAAATGATGAGTTGATGGGTGCAGCACACCAACATGGCACAAGTATACATATGTAACAAACCTGCACGTTATGCACATGTACCCTACAACTTAAAGTATAATAATAATAAATAAATTTTAAAAAATAAAATAAATAAATAAATAAATAAATAAATAAATAAAAAAGAAAATTATGTGTCTGAATGGGAATGTAGATGTTAATATAAGTAACAATGACAGTGTGGATGTTTCAAGAGGATTTTAAAAAGCAATAGATTCAGACCTTAGTTGTGCCAGGTCTGGTAAAGGCAATGTAAATGGCAAAGACTTATTTCTTTTGAAAGTTTTGTAATGATCAGATGACAGGGCTGAAGGGACTGAGAAGGAAGGAGGGAACTCTTTTCCAATATCTTCAATAGGATATGCCCTTTTCTAAATTCATTTTTATGTTTCATGTGAAAATTCTTTTAATAGGATGAGTACTCCTTAGATAGTGTGGTTAAAGCAATTACTCCACTTTAGTCCAATCCTGCCAACAATTCATACTAGTAATTAATAACATGCTGAATGAATATTTTTAAAACTGCATTTTAAAAAACTCAACTCATAATTTAAGAAAATATTTCAGTAAGCAGTGGCAGGGAATCATTGCAGACACTCACAGAAAAGAAGCAATAAAAATCGGTCTGTTAAAATAAAACCAAGCAGGATCAGAGACAGTGTATAGTGTCATTAGATTCTTAGGTCATTAGATTATCTTGGCTGGCTCTTTACTTAGATGAGCCATGTTGCTTGCTTTGGGGCCTCCAGGCAAACCGTATGTGGCAAGATTGACGTATGAATACATTTTCAGTACACCACTTCGTGTTATTTCACAGGCCTCTGACATTTGGCTGTCCCCCAAATAATCTCTAGTAGGTTTCATCAATGCCTTCATTTTTCTTTTGTAATACTTAACAACTTCTTTGGGTGGTTTTTTTTCTTTTGGGTAATTTTTATTTAAGCAATTTTTCCATATACAGGAGCAAGGAAACACTTGAATAAGGAGTTAGGCTCTCCTAAAGACTCAAACAATTTATCTTTGTAGCTCCAAGAAAAAGTGGGAGTAGGAGAGAGTAGACATGATCAGAGTTCATTCCAAGCCAGCGTTTTCACTCTTCCCTTGCTTCCTTGCCTATAAATAAAATTTGGGGTGGGGAAAAGATTTGGAAAAATATTTGAGCAAAAATTTTATCCCTATTCCTCCTCTTCCTCCGAGCCGGAGACCACCCAGGGGTTTGACTGATGTTTTCTATTGGAGAAGTCTGAAGGAATCCACTCTTGGGTAGCTTAAGTATATCTGCTTTAGTAGGCAACATTTCTGAGCCACACAGAAATGGAACTAGTTTTCTTGGTTTGCCTCCAAATTGACCAACTTTGAAATTAATTAGCTGTGAGGCTTAGAGCAAACCACTTTAACTCCTCTAGACCTTCTGTTCTTTTCTGATAAAAAGAAGAAGAAAGAATAGATGTTCTCAAAGGTCATTCTAAAGATTTCTCAATTTCAACATTATTGATATTTTGGACTGAATATTCTTTGTTGTGATGTGCTGTTGTAGGCATTGTACAATGTTTAACAGCATTCCTGGCCTCTACCCACCTGATGCAGTAGCGTCCTTCCTAGTTTTGACATCCCCAAATGTCTCTAGCTATTGCCAAATGTCCTCTGGAGAGACACTGAAAGATAAAATACAAGATACCCAGTTAAATTTGTATGTCAGATAAAGAATGAATCATTTTATTATATTTAATTGGACATATTTATACTAAAAACTTACTTGTTTTTTGTCTGAAATTCAGATTTAATTGAGCACTCTGATGATTAATTTGCTAAATCTGGTAACCTTATTGGTGGGGTGGGTGAGGTGGTGGTGCAAAATTGCTCTCTCCTCCACTCCACTGAAAAACCAACGTTCTAGGCAAAAGGTTTTTTAAAAATACGTGGTTTTGTTCTCCTTGGAGTTTTCCATATTAGAATGATTAAAGGGATAGGCCAGACTTCCATTAGATCAGATTTTTGGAAATGTTCCTGATTGATTAATTTTGTATTCATAGATATATCTATTCTAAAAAAGAGTATTTTTTCAACATTGTTAGGATAGGGATGTCAGACAATGACCATTCCTTTTAGCCACTGCTGATTTCTCTCTGAGAAGGCTAAACATGTGCTTAGGGCATTGATAAAACAGAAACTAGAGAAAGAGAGAAAGGGAGACTTTGTTTGAAAGAATTAGATTTTTTGAAAAGCATCAGTGTAGTAGACACTATGGGGGAAGTTCTAACTTTGTGGAACTTATTTTGAATTCCATATGAAAGTGGGGTGAAGGATAATCTTTCCAGTGCCTACGGATTTTGAGTTTCTAACCCTGGCCTGATTTTAGGACATTTTACACCACATCAGTCGTAACAGAAAGAGGGTTTGCCACAGGTAGTTCACTCCTCCTTTCTACCCTAAGCTCTTGAGCAGTTATGTATAAAGGGCAGTTCTATGAAGAAGTGTACATGTAGAGAAGTGGATAATCAAATGAAACAGAGCTTTAGGTACATGTCTTTGTGTTGTGCCAAACTCAACACACTGCATTTTCAATTTGAGCCAGAGTCATCTGACCAATTTAGGATCTGGCATTTTTTAATTTCCACTCTTACTTGTTGTCTTCATGATAGTGTGGGGCTTGAAGACTCAACATAAGGATGAGGGAGTCGTGAGGATGTTGAAACTTGTAAAATATGGCAGTAATAACTGTAAGCCTACAGTGCTCATAGATACTAAAGGATATAAAAAATATTTTATCATTGTTATTGATAAAGGTTTTTTCAGTGCTTTCCATAGGTATGAATTAAATGCTGAAAGAAGGCTGAACAGCATAAAATTTTTCCTGTCTTTTACAAACTTCCATATCATTTAGGAAAATAATACATGTGGATAAGAAAAAGTAACAAAGAGAATACTGGATAAAGAAAGAATACTTTTGGGTTGGGCATGGTGGCTCACACCTGTAATCCCAACACTCTGGGAGGCTGAGGCGGTCAAGAGATTGAGACCATCCTGGCCAACATGGTGAAACCTTGTCTCTACTAAAAATACAAACATTAGCTGGGCATGGTGGCGTAATCCCAGCTACTTGGGATGCTGAGGCAGGAGAATCACTTGAACCCAGGATGGGGAGGTTGCGGTGAGCTGAGGCTGTGCTACTGCACTGCAGCCTAGCGACAGAGCGAGACTCCATCTCAAAAAAAAAAGAATACTTTTTTTGTATAAGTGTATGTGAAATATTAAATGGAACACACTTACACTGAAAACTTATTTGTTCTTTATCTGAGATTCCAATTTAACCGAGTGTCCTTTACATTTATTTGCTAAATGTGACAAATAAATATATGTTACAACATATGCTAGATGCCAAAAGATTGTTTACATATTTGGTGTTCTAGGAGTTGAGAGGAGATACTGCTTCTTTCTCAATATCAGCATTATTGGCATTTTGGGCTGGATAAATCTTTGTTGTTGGGGCTGGGGGCTGTCCTATGCATGGTAAAATGTTTAGCAGAATCTCTGGCTTTTGCTCATACATGCCAGTAGTACCCTCAACCCCTTTGTGACAACCAAAAATGTTTCCAGACATTGTCAAATGATCCCTGGGGAGGAAAATCTCTCTGGTTGAGAACCACTAGCCTCTTAGGGTAGGGGAAGACTTAGGAGAGATATCACTTGAGCAGGGCCTGGAAGGATATGTGTTACTTTGCAAGAAAGAAGTAGTTTTTTTGGAGAGCATTTTAGGTGAGGGAAAAGGCATAAATAAAGATGTCAAGGTATAAAAGTTGAGAGTAAGTCTGGAGTAGAGTAAGCAGATGAGTTTAACTATATAGTTATTGTTCATACGGGAAACAGTGGGATTGTAAAGTACTTTAAGAAATAGATCATATTTTGTGACTCCGCCCATGCCCGTAGCAGCCTAATAGTATCTTGACCTTAGTAGCTGTTCAGTAATTCACTGGTGATTTGATATGAAAGGTAAATGCATCAAGATAAGAAAGCCTTGAATGGAAAGTCTAAGAGGTAAAACTTTTTCTGGTGGGCAATGGAGAGTCCTGGAAGGTTATTTGAGCAAGGGAATGGCATGACCTTGAGGAAGTCAAGCTGTTCTGGGGTTGATTGGGATCAGTTATCTCAATGGTGAGAGAAAGGAGTTGGAATTGAGAATAGTAATAGCAATCACCTTTAAAAAAATTTTCCCCCCACAATTTACAAAGCACTTTGCCTGCATTTTCTAATTTGGTTGTCCCAAAAATCCAGTATCAATTTCATTAAAAATTTTTCTTCTTTAGTTATTTTTCTTCCCAACTAGCAGCGATGTTTGGACATCTCAATAAAAATGAGCTTTGGATACATTTCATGCCGTGAAAAAAATGCTCACAATTTTATTTTATTTTTTTGTCCTTCAAGTTGTGATGTCATCAAAGGGCCTGGGCAACTGATTCACCTTATGGGCAAAGATGGAGTTGAGTGGCACTCTGTCCTTGGCAGGGAGGAGCTTTTAAACCTGGGCTCCTTTCTGTGTCTGGGATCCGGGTTGAAAGCATTTCCTTTTGCTTCTTCAGATGAATAAGTGGCACTGTACAAGCATTAAAAGAGATGTCTGTCATATGAATTTGGCATTGTCCCCCCACCCCCCCAATCTCTTGAAAGTCTGTTTGTGGTGCCACAGGATTAGTCCTTGACCACTCTGTTCTTTCCATCCCCAAAAATGCCAGACAGCTTTCTTTCTAATGCTCCCACCTCCTAGGTACCCTTTCTATTTACTGTAGGATCGGATCTTATCCTGTGGAGAAGTTACATAATTTTGGGTGTTATGAGGTAATGCACGGCTCTTCTTTTTTATCCCCTGCTGCCTCAAAACAAACATTTCTTGTTCCTTGGTTCCTCAATGTCTGACTGATGTTAGGACAAAGATGAGAATAAATTAGTTGATCCAACAAAAATGAAATGAGTAATTAGGAGAAAACTCAACTATGGCTAAAATTGGTTTCTGCTAATTAAAAACATTGACAAGCAAAAGATTGTCAATATGTTCTAGATTTAGTCATCAGGAAATCAGGCCTATTGTAGAAATGTTTCTCATCATAAGAAAAGACATGGGACTTCATGGACTCTAATTAAATTTCTTTAATCCATAATTTTGGTTAGCAGTATTCCATTTAGTTATTCTTTGTTGTTACTGTTTGTAGTTGGCAGAATAGCCCCCCTGAAGATGTCCACACCTTAATCTCTGACTCCTATGAATATTACATGGCAAAAGAGACTTTGCAGATGTGGCTAGGGTTATGGACCTTAAGATGAGGAGATTATTTTGAATCATCCAAGTGGGCCCAATCTAATCCCATGCATCTTTAAAAGCAGAGCATTTCATCCAGCTAGAGGGAAGAGAGATGCTGCAAAAGGGAAAGTCAGAGAGATTCCAAGCATGAGAAGGACTCAATGCACTATTGCTGGTATTGAGATGTAGGGTTCTAATATGAAGTTCAAAGAAAGAATTTTAGGAAGTAAAGGCCTCTCCGCTGATATCCATAAAAAAGCAGAGACCTCAGTCCTACAGCTGTAAGGACCACAATCCTGCTAACAACCTGAGTGATCTTGGAGACAGGTTCTTCGCAGAGCCTCCAGTAAAGAACACATCCCTGAAACACCTTGATTTTATCATTGAGAGACCCTAAGCAAAAGAACCAACTAAGCCACACTGTACCTGGACTTCTGATCTGCAGAAACTGTGAGATAATAAATGGATGTTGTTTTAAGCCTTGAAATTTATGGTAATTTGTCATGGCAGCAATAGAAAACTAATATAGAGTTCTTTGTCATTGTTTCTGTTTTCATTACTGTCACCACCATTGTTATGACTTACTGTATATTTGCATCACATGACATGGCGCCAAGTACCAGGCTTTGCCACTAGATTTTAAGCCTTTAAAGACAGAGATTTTTTTTTTTTCTCTCTTTCTCTCTTTCACCCAGGCTGGAGTGCTCTGGCCTGATCATAGTTCACTGTGACCTTGAACCCCTGGACTCAAGTGATCCACGTGCACCAGCCTCCAGATAGCTAGGACTAGAGGTGCATAACACCAAGCTAGGCTAACTTTTTAAATTTTTGGTAGAGATGGGGTCTTGCTATGTTGCCCAGGCTGGTTTCAAACTTCTGGCCTCAAGCAATCCTCCCACCTCAGCCTCCCAAATTGCTGGGATTACAGGTGTGAGCCATTATTCCCAGCCTTTCTCCCTCTCTTATAAAATTTTCACCTATGTAATCTCTAACACTTCAAACAGTTGTCTAACACATACTATGTGCACAATAGATATTTATTGAATGACTATGTAGGGTTACAAAAGAATTTTCAATATTATCCCTGCCTTAGTGGAGCTTAAAAATCTAGTTGAAGCATCAAAATCTCAATTAACTCCCCAAACAGAACAATATATTTCAGTGCCAACGGAGAGATCTAGACAATACATATTGTAGTTTTCTAGGGGCATAGAAGTTGCAGTGGGTACAGGTGGAAATAAATTTCATGGAGAAAATGGGCCTTCGGGTAAGATGACTAAAGAAGCAAAGCAAAACAAAGGGGAGAAAGACAGGAGAAAAAGACAACAGCTTTACAACTCTGTATGGGGTAATCCAAGATGACCAGTTCAGGGTAATCCAAGATGTACTAATCTTGGCTTGAGCCCGATGGTGAGTCTGCTGTGTCATCTGCAGTCCCTTGCCCTGCTGGAAATTACAGTGAACACTTTATAGTACAAAACACCTATCAATGGGGACTAGGGTTTCAGTTATCAACATTCTTGATCATTCCTTTTATTCTTCCATCTGGCTTTTTCTCTCATCAAAATATGACACCTTCATGTTAAATGGTGTAATATCTTACTTTTTAAAAATAAATTTTAATGCAAAAGGAATACATCTTCACTATAGACTACTTAGGAAAAAATAAGCATAAAGAAAAAAAATCATACAGAATTTCACCACCCAAAATAACTGCTGAGTAGTTTGATGTATTTTTTCATATTTTGTCCTTCTGAATCACTTAAATACTATAGTCACAAGATTAGTATTATGCCTAAGAAATAGTTTTATATCTAATTCTTATTTTCTGTGTAATTTCCTATAATGTGAATAAACTGTAACTTATTTGATAACTCCCTCATTATGGGTCATCTAAGTTGTTTCCAATGTTGTGGAATTTAGAATTCAATAATATTATTAAAACTTTGGTAAAAATCCTTGTCAATAAATTCCTGGTTGCATCTCTGATAATAACTTAAGGATAAAGTCCCAGAAGTTGGAATTATTGGATCCAAACGAATGGCTACTTTTAAACCTCTTTATACAACTTGTCAAATTATTTAACAGGAAGAAAAAATGGAATTTTTTTAACATGCTACCTCACATTAATTGATATTTCTGTTAGTTGTGTATGAGAGTGCTTATCTCACCATACATTTACCAGCATTTAGTTTTGTAATTCCTTTTTTTTTTTTTTTGAGACAGAATCTCGCTGTGACACCCAGGCTGGAGTGCAATGGCTCAATCTCGGCTCACTGCAATCTCCGCTTCCTGGGTTCAAGCGATTCTCTTGCCTCACCCTCTTGAGTAGCTGGGACTGCAGGTGCAGGCTACTACATCTGGCTAACTTTTGTATTTTTAGTAGAGACGGGATTTCACCATATTAGCTAGGCTGGTTTCAAACTCCCGACCTCAAGTGATCAGACTGCCTTGACCTCCCAAAGTGCTGGAATAACGGGCTGGAGCCACTGTGCCTGGCTTTTATAACTCTTTTTAAATGATATTTTATTATTATTTTGCCATAAATGTCACTAATTTTTCTAAATGCACTTTGATATATGTATGAGGTTAAATATATTTTCATGTTAGAGTGGAAATTTGTTTATCTTCTTTGGGAATCATGTGTTGTTACCTTTTGCCTATTTTTCTACATATTAGTGTTTTATATTGATTTATGAGTTCTAGTTCTACTATAATTAATTATTGATATTTTGATTATTATATTAATGACTAATATGTATTAATCATTAATACAAATTACATATACATATAATACATATTATATATTTACATATTTATATATAATATTTATAAATAATGTTTCTATTTTGTAGTTTGCCTTTGAATTTTGTTTATACCGTTTATACAGATCAACATATCAAAGCAGTTCCTCAATGTAAACATCATGGCAAGTCAATGGCTTGCTTTTTGAAATTGTTGTGAAACGTGGTTTCCTCTCACTCCCTGACACCCAATCCTTATCCCTGCTGCCCCAACATGAAATGAGAAGTCCACTAGCATTTGAACTTATATTTCCTCCAAAGTATAAATTGATTACATTACTTTTATAAACTAATTTTTTTGAGATGGAGTTTCACTCTTGTTGCTCAGGCTGGCGTGCACTGGCGCCATCTCGGCTCACTGCAACCTCTGCCTCTCAGGTTCAAGCAATTCTCCTGCCTCAGCTCCCTGAGTAGCTGGGATTACTGGCATGCACCACCATGCCTGGCTAGTTTTGTATTTTTAGTAGAGACATGGTTTCTCCATGTTGGTCAGGCTGGTCTCGAACTCCCAACCTCAGATGATCTGCCCGCCTCAGCCTCCCAAAGTGCTGAGATTACAGGTGTGAACCACCATGTGCGGCCACTCTTTTTTTTTTTTTCTTTCTTTCTTTTTTAAGAGAGAAGTTCTTATTACTGTCCCCCAGGCTGGAGTGCAGTGGCATAATTGCACTGCAGCCTGAAACTCCTGGGCTCAAACAATCCTCTCATTTCAGCCTCCTCAGTAGCTGGGACTACAGGCACATACCACCACATCCAGCTAATTTTTTAATTTTTTAAATAGAGATGTGGTCTTGCTTTATTGCCCAGGCTGGTCTCAAACTTCTGGCCTCAAGTGATCCTCTTGTCTTGGCCTCCCAAAATATTGGAATTACAGGTGTGAGGCACTTCACTTGACCTCTGATTATTTTAAAAGAATTCATTGGTATTCTTATTAAACAATTACAGAATATTTATAGAACATCTCTTGAAATCAAGAATTAGTTTAGCCTGGGCATGGTGGCTCATGCCTGTAATCCCAACACTTTGACAGGCAATGGTGAGAGGATCACTTCAGGCCAGGAGTTCAAGACCAGCTTGGACAACAGAGCAAGACCCCTCCACCTGCCGGGCCACTTCCTTGGCCCTGCCATCTCTAACAAAAAAAAAAAAAGTTTTTAAGTAGTCAGGCACAGTGGTATGCACCTGTAGTTCTACCTACTCAGGAAGCTGAGATGGGAGGATCACTTGAGCCCAGGAGTTTAAAAGCTGCATGGGGGTAAGCCATGATTGCATCACTGCACTCCAGTCTGGGTGACAGAGTGAGATGCTGTCTCTAAAAAAAGAATTTTTTTTTAAATAAAATAATCAGATATATCAACATAGTATTCAGAGTTATGTGTATTTTAACCTGAAGTAATAGTTTCTAACTGGTTATCATATTACTCTGAGTGCAATTGCAGATTCCACTGATTATTTTCAATGAGTCATAAACACTCATACTTTAAATACTCAGACTTTAAGATAGTTAAGCTGGGAGTAAATGTCTCAGGATTTTTGC